TTCCTATATGAATTATCCCATTCTCTAATGATGAAAATTAATTCATGCTTTCAAAAATACTTTGCTGGCTGACCCAGACACATTGAATGGTGTATGTCCATGGGGACTTCACTTTGGAACCTCTGTAAGTCTACCCCTCTACAAATAATTGAGGGCCAGCTATTATTAATATGCTCTTCTTGTCCACTTGTACATTTCCTGGTCATAGGACTTCCGTGTGTGGTAGTAAAACGAAATAATCCTTATTAAGAACATATCACTAAAGACCAGGAGCAGTGGCTCATGCCTATAATCCCAACATTTTGGGAGGCTGAGGCAGGAGGATCACTTGAAGCCAGTGAGCTATGGCCTCCTGTGAGTACCACTTTACCTACTGGACAACAGAGTGAGACTCTGTCTATAAGAATATAAGTAGATAAAAGTAAAAATAAGAACATATAACGAGGAATACAGATAAAATAAATTCAATCTATGGTGAAAAGTAATAATCTACCTCATCTCCTTATAAAACTATGGTCTTTTCTCAGCAGTTTAAATTGCTCAACATTATTAGATGTAATGTTCATTGAAAGAAGATTTTTGAAGTCATTCAGACCCAAGAATTTGGTCTTAGGAAGACTGGCCACAGACATTACTAAACAGCAGCATTGAACAATTGTGGAAAATTCCTCTCAATCAGACCTCAAGAAATATCTTTTGATTGATTGGAAAAGGGAGAATTGCTTGTCCTCAGGAGGACAAGAAGAAAGCATTTGAATAAAAGTGCTGAAAATCTGAAACAAAGAAAAGGTCCTGTAAACAGCCTAGATAACTGGGCAGCCAGGCCTGCCTGATTTATGAAGGAATATGACCCATTCATGAAGGGTTCCGTTAGAGGATCAAGGAGGCCTTCATAAGGAAGACTGGAGGACATGCCTGTGGCTGTACGCACCTTTGGCCAAAGGCCTGGACCAGAGTCCCGCAGAGTTTGGGGTTTGACTACTTCAAACATAGACATCTACGCTATTAGATACATCTTCTTCACTAAGTGCAGGCTTCACCTCCCTCCCACTCCCACCCCCAAACTCATCCTGAAGTTGAGAATCACTGATTAATTGACCTGAATTCATAGTCACTGGACAAGGTTATTGGACATACACTGATTTCATTATCACATACCTTCTAAAAGTTAATGAAAGGTTTTTTATTAATCCAGGTTTTAATAGGCTATATTTCTTCATACCTAAAGAAGTAAAACTGGGAAAAAAATGAAAATAGTAACAGTAATTGATTATTTTTAATCTTTGTAAGTTCAAGTTAACTCAGTTTATTGTTTTGTATCTTTTAGACAGAAAAATGAAATCAGGCACACACAAAACCCAATTCTCCCTGTCCTCATGAAACCTGCCTCTAAGGATGCATTTGTATTTATTTTTTAACAGAAAAATTCTCTTCCTTATGGCTTGTCTGTGGTTCCTTTTCATTGCTGCAGGGTTTCCGAGCCTGGGAAGTGGGGCTTCTGGGGCCCAGGAGAGTCGGTGATGCCGACGGATGCTGTGTCAGTGCCTCACACGTGCCGTCCTGGATCTTCCGGAGGTCAAGATTTTTCCTCCTTCTTTTGTTCTTCTTGTTCTAGGGGTATGAGAGTGCTTCTCTCTTGTTTAAGAACCGTGATTAGGGATTTTAAATTATGTGCTTAATGATAACTGTAAGAGCAAGTTTTAAAAAGTTTACAACAGGGGAGGAAATACAAAATAGTCACACTAATCTAAAAAACACCCTCAAAAATAAAATGCGTAGACAAAATATCAGAAATATTTTTCATAATTTTCCTTGGTCGTGGGAGATTTTCCAATCTTCTTTCTACAATAAATCAAAATGAAATGCCATTTAACTTCAGAGAGAGGTTTTTTTTTCCCTTTGATGATGAAAGCAAATAACGGAAATAATTAAATGAGAGTTTTATTACATTCAGATTTCTTTGCTGAACATCAATTCATTCTATAATTAAAAATTCATTTTATAATTTACACATTTTTAATTTATGAAGTTAAGTGTCCTTGTCACCTGGCCTCAGTCATCTATAGCAGGGAGCGGGGACAGGATGTTATGAACTGATGGTCCCCACCGTCCAGCCCCTAGTGCTCAGAATCCAGGGGAACTCTGGCACTGGACATTGGATCTCAGCATCAGCAATGAGCTGCATCATCTCTGACAGGAATGGGTGATCAGAACATTTCCCTTCACCATTTTTTAAAGCCAGGTCCTTGATTTTCATGGGCAGGAAGGGGAACATGTTTGGCGGAGTGGTTAGTTTACCACGTCACATTTTCACATTTTCATCTATCATAATTTAGATCTTTACATTTCTGGAGTTGGTGATTGATAGCCTCCAAACACATAAACACTCTCCACCTGTACAGAATGCACCAGGGACTCTGCTCTCATAAAGTCAGGACCAAGGTAGAAGTGGATAAAATTCTAAAGCCCACTCCTTAGCAGTAGTAAGTCCCAGGATCGGCCATGACTACAGAAGGTGACAGTTTCTGGATGCTGTTAGTTTGCAGCAAATTGAAATTTTGTGGTTTTATCTATTACCAGAAAAGCCCTCCAAAAAAAATGTAGCCAGTGGGGAAGAAAGCAGGAGTCCCACCGTCTCATTTTTAACAAGGACCAGCTGAAAAATGAAGGCACACACCACACAAACCATCTTATGTCTGCCAATTCATTTCCTGGCCCCAGAAGAAAAAAAAAAAAAAAACCCTCGTGTTTCCTCTTATGCAGGCCAAACATGGCAAAGCACCAAGGGAATTCTGAATGGAATCAATTGCACTTGTTACTAACTGAGTTTTCTTTTATTCTTATATTACCAAGGGCTGGATACTCAGCTGCAAGCAATTATAATGAAGAGTTACTGAGTAATGGTTTCCAGATTGCTCCATGATGGGGCATTAATTGAAAGGGACAATTTAAGAGCTTAGGCCATGTAAATGCATTTCTTATTCTGTCAGATTGAGAAATTTCTGGATGCAAAAGGCTGAAATACTTAGAACTGATAAAGACTTAATAATGTCCATTTAAGCCAGTATTTTCAAAACTAGTTTCATGTTTTCAAGAGAACAAATATTAAATGGTGAACCTGTGAGCTTGTTCATTCAACCAGGAAAATGATCTAAATAGCACACTGGCATGCTGCACTTCTGTTATAAACATATACATTGTATAAAATGTGACTTGTTTAGTCTGTTGCATTGCAGAGCCAGTTAAATTGGCAAGTAAACTTTCATTTTTCAGTTCTCATGCTATTATGATGCATATTGAGCACCCTCTCTTGCTCTCTTGCTCTCTATATATGCTTTAAAATTTTAAACAGCATTTAAAAACACATAAATGAGTTTTATATGTGTATGCATGCTTTAAAATTTAAAACATTTCTAAACAGATTTGCATGCATACGAAAGTGGACCTTCTCAAAAATTATCTGTGAAGTCCATATCAGAAAGCTTTATTTTGCCTTTTTTTTTTAAGTGGGCTTTCATTCCCCTGAGCTGCATTAAGCTGTAACATTTTCAAAGAGATTCTCTGATATGCCACATTAAAGATAAGTATCATAAGACAGTAAGACAGTTAATGCCGAGCAAGGAAGAAAATCACCGGCTCGCTCAAAAAAAAAAAAAAAGAGAAGTACTCATTTTAAAAGTCTAATATCAGACTTCTGCATTAGTACTAGTTTTATTTACGAAAAGGAAGGAAGAAGAGAAGCAAGGAGGGAGAGAAAGAAAGAGAAAGAGAAAGAAGAAAGAAGGAAAGATGGATGGATGGATGGTAGACAGAAAGAAATAGATGCAGATACGATTTAAGATATGAATTCATCATTGAGGAGAGATGGACCCCACTGCTCTTTCTCATTCTGTTTTCTAAATCTGAATTGCCATCTGAGAATTGAACTTTTACCCTTCCTTCTGCCTTCAGTCTGGCATTCTGGATTTGTGCACAGGAGCTGTGGTGCTGATGGTAGACTTCTCCTAGAGCCTTGACACAAACCATGACATGGATGGCAAAATAGGCAGAGGAAAGAAGTTGTCAGCCTGGGGAAATTGAGAGCATTCAATCCAAGAGAATGAAAAGGAAAGTTCAAGCAGCAGTGAAAAAATCTGGTGGTCTTTTCTGCTCACTCTAAAGTCAAGGTCAAGCCCCATCAGAATGTCCCAGACAGAAGTCAAAAACACAACCACTTGAAAAGTGGATGGTCAATTTGGGACAGGGTTGAATACCATCATAAGCAATAAAGTAATCTAAACGAATTATTCAAACAGAACTGTCAAGAATCCAAGATGAGATAGGGAAAGCATTCTTTGCCAGCAAATAGCATTGCCTCAAATGATCCCTTTTTAGTCACAAAAATCTCCACTATGTATCTGTCCTTTACTTTGCTACCCTTTCTTTTTTCCATTCATTGCTGAAATCTGACATTTTAACTGAAGGTTCAAAACCTCTTTATTTATTTCTAAGATTTAAGGGGAAAAGGTTTCTTTTTAAACATCCTGAATTTAAAAATAAATAAACTGAATAGGAAGACTTAGACTGTCTATTTCAATTGATCTTGTGATTTCTCATTTTGTGGATTGTACTGATAAATTATTTTAAGTCACATCGTAATTTTGCCTAAGAAACGTGAGCATCAGCGGGTGTTTTTAAAATATAATAGGGGCCCTCTTTCACCCAACCATTTCCTGGGCTGCTGCTTTTCCTAGTAGCAGCCAAACACCTGAACAAACCCAGGAATTCCAGGCCAAATGGTTCTGATAACAGCAGATCTTGGATAGAACTGATTTGATCAAATAACTCATACAAAATGCAGCTTAATAGGTATCCTTATTCTCAGGACTCCACTCAACTAGACAGAAGAGAGTGAAAACACATTCTCTTTTGATAATGTAGTTTATTCCAAAAAAATTTTGTACAAGTACATACACGCATATTTCAATAACATATGAGTGTAACTACTACACAGAGGGGTATCATTATAAACTTGGATCCTGAACATATACTTAATTTGAACAGCTTACAGAAAAGAATTAATGTTGCATGCATAAGTGTGCAGTGAAAAGTTTGGAAGTTGAGTTAGAAGGTTGGTTTAGTTTTGTTTTTCAACAATTTCAAAGTTCCTAAAATGCAGATAGTATGAAGAAAAGAACTGATTTTCTACATGACTAAAAATTCAGTCGGCAATTTCATGCTTATGCTAAGCAGTTTTGCTTGAATCAGTACCTGGAAAAATTAAGGTAATTCCTGTGTTTACAGGCTCTATTCAAGCAAGGCAGGAGTAACATTTGAGAGGGATTAGCAATCAAAAATTGAAAATCTACCATCACCACACAAGCTTGCCTTTTCATTTTGTACAGATCATAAAATACGTAACACGGACCAGACCCTTGTCCAGCAAATGTTCACATCCTAATTTTTAAAAATAGCTTCTATACACAATTGCTCTCTTTGCAATAAAACAAAGATTTGTTTATAGCTACAATTTAATTAAGAACCTTTTCGAAGAGGAAGATCTGGAAACCAGGGATCTTATTTTTTCTTTTTTCTTTTTTTTTTTCCACCAGGGTTGTTTGTTTATTGGTTTAATTTTCCCTGAAGTAAAAATACACTTTGAAATGTAACATGTCATTATGTAATTTGTAGTAACAAAGTGCAGGCCCTTGCACACGACAGCAAACAGGACCGCTCCGGCTCACAGACAGTCCCCATATCCACAGCCCCCTCCCCGATCTGATTAACAGCCTGTATAAACATTCAGCCAACCAGAACAGCGGCCAGTGCACAATTTGGTCAGCCATAAAACTGCCAGCCAAACACAGACACGGGGGTTTATGCAGAAATCTTAATTTGGGGGAAATGATCAAAACTGAGACAACATGGCCCCCGGGGAGATCAGGAAGGGCTAACCTTTATTTTCATCAATCCCACCCCACCTCCCAAACAGCAAGGGATGCTATCACTACTGAAGGTGAAATGCTTAATAAAATGTCCCTGAAATACAATGTCACAGAGGGAGCATCGTCATGAGCTCCAATCCCTGAAGAGCAAAATCTAAAAGGGAAAAATAAGCTTCTATTTTAAGGAGCAATTTTAAATGGTCTGAGTTGTTTGGGAAAGGTCCTGTTTTGACATATCCAGAATGGATTCCCTCCATCAGCATGTTTTCTATTGATACAAGAAAACATGTTTTCTACTGATGCAAGAAAAACTAATATGTATTCTAACTGTGCAGAAATTGGTGAAATTTATACAAAGGGTGTTTTGTGTGTGTGTGGTTTTTTTTTTCCTTCCCACCATTTTCATTGCTCTTGGCAAAAGACTTTAGACCCTTCACATAATGGAAAATTCAAAATGTTCAGTGTAAATCAAATAATTAGTAAGAAACAGATTTTTTAAAAAATTTTTTTTTAGAATACTCTCACAAGACAGCAAACTTGTTTTTTCTAGCTTGGGACAGGGTTTCATAGCTCACTTTTGAGACTATATAGCACCCAACTTTTATCAGAATTGAGTCTCTTAAATATTCTCTTTTTTGAAAATATGCTGGTGGTAATCACAGTGATGGAATTAACTATAGCAAAAAGACATTGCATTAGTCTGGTTCCTTTCTCCTCAATAGCTTTTTGCTAACTGGTTACTATAGAGCATTGGGCTTCACAGAAATTTTTCATAATTTTCACCTTTGTTCTAGTCTTGCTCCTTAATTTGGAATCTCTAATTTGTTTGGGAAAAAACAAAAACAAGGAAGCATGATCAGCCACCTTAACAATGCTCTCCCACTGGGTTACCCACGTCTTCCTTGGTGTATCTAATTGTGCTCACAAGCATTTATTTTTTCCTCTCATAAGAAACCTGCATGCTTTTCTCTGGGTGGCTTTCTACTAAAGAAATGAATAACTAAACATGATGCAAGCTCCAAATAAAATGAGAAAATGTATAGACATATTGAATAATTATTTTTTCCAGGCCTTAGGCAAACCACTTTCCATTTCATTTAATTCTCACAAAACCTGTGAGTTAGGTATATGTATTATCCACACCTTTTTTTCCCCCAGATTAGGGAACTGAAGTACAAAGCGTTTCAGTAATTTGCCCCCAAGCCACATAGCATGTGAACAGCAGAGCGCGAGTACTAGCTCAAGCAGCCTAATTCAAGAATCAATCTACTACCCCTCCTAGATGTGATGTTATTGCCTTTGTCGAGAGGTAGCTATGTCTCAGATCCTTGGGGTCATTGCAAAGAGGTGGACAAGGAGCCCTCCATGATGATTTCACTTAGGCGGTAAGTGAGGTAGCCTAGTGAATCTAAGGAGCATCAGTTTCAGAGTTTGAAAGCTATGGGTTTCTTCACAAGCTCGGCCACTGATTAGCTGCAGGACCTTGGAAATGTTCACTCACATCTCCAAGCTTCTGTTTCCTCATCTGCAAAAAAGAAAAAATTTTGTGAGAGTTAAATGAAATGTCATTTTTTTTAATGCTTCACAAACATATAGAAGATTTTCAGGTCTTCTTTTCTCTCCCCAAGCTAATCATTTATACCACTTTGTGATCAGTTTTAATCATTACAACATTACTAATATACTTTATAAAATTACCTTTCTAGGGTATAACGTGATGAAAGAATTTCATATCCAAACAAAAGTTTAAATAGAATATTGGGTACTTTTTTTAAATTCATTGGATCCCACTAAATTGCAGATACTCTAAAAAATGAGTTAGGTCTTCTAAGTATGGCTAAAAAGTAGGCACATTTGCCTTCACTCCAAAAACCAGCAAGATAATTTCTAACATTCACGAATGTTCATTTCAAAAGCATGTGGTAATTGCATGTGGGCTACTCTTCGGTCAGCGAGTTAAAGAAGAGCACAGATGTCAAAGAAGCTTCCTCTCTGATATCATCCATCAACTTAGGTTGTTGGACCTTCTCTGTCACAGCCTGCCTCCAACTGATTCTCTCTCATTGTTGGAAAAAGGGAAAAATGAGCAAAAACTACAACATGCAATACTTCAAATCATTGCCCAAAATGTTCTTCCAACTCTGTGAGTTACATAACCTTAACCTATCTTGAAAACCACAGTAGATTTCCATCTCCTTGGGATGGCAGAAAGCAACAGAATATTCTAAATGACATTTTCAGGTTTATGGGTTTGACATATCTTTCAAGACATTTCAGAGTTTTCCCCACTTCATCCCCCAACACCTCCCTAGGAGCACTTGCAGAGAGCAGGCCTAACGTTTTCGATGATAAATTAGTTGTCAATATATAGACAAGTTGCTTTTTCCAAAGCCTCTCGGAGCAGAAGCATATTCTACTTCCTCTCAAAGGCCCTAGAACTACCTGTGTACTGGCATGCTCACAAGAAAATTTTTATTCACAAGAATAATCTGTTGAAAGGAGGATAGATTTTCAAATGGAGTTTCAAATAATCCTCACCTTTGAGATCATCTGTGCTCACAGCCCAGTATTTTTACAAGATGAAATGATTTACAGAATCAAGCCTGGAAAAATTGGAGGGCAACTCCAAAAGGCAAAAACATGTTACCGAGTCCATCATTCATCCTGCCAGGGAAACTTTTGTAGTTTCCAAACTGTTATGAGACACCGCTCTCTATCCAGGGCAGAGGAATCGTTGAAAAGGCAGGAGGTATGCTGGCCACACAGCCAGCATGGAGAGCTGGAGTTTTTGGCAGGGCACTTCCACCCCAAAAGCAGACAGAGTCCTGGAAGGGCGTTCATGTAAACAAAGCAGGGAGATAGCTTCAACTCTGCAATGAGGCGCAACCTTTCCCAGATCAAAGCCTGGATCACAGAGACAGCCCTGAAGAACTGAGTGTCCTTTCTGGAACATCCAACTCCAGGGGAGAGACTTGAGCTGGAGCCACAACCTCACCACCTGTAGCCAAGGACTTGGCACGTGAAAGCTGTCACAGGGTGGGGAGCCTGCAGCTACTCCCACAACAGAAGATCAATGGAAAGACAAGACAACACAGGGAAGAAAGCGTTCTTCCTCAAGATACTGAAGCTGAGATCGTTTAACTAAAGCTTGCATCCAGGCAACCCAAGCTCTCTATGCAGTGCTGAAAGGGGATGGAAATCAGTACAGGGTCATAAGTTCTGAAGCCAGGTTGCTGGGGCTTTGACTCTCTACTCTGTGTTTACTAGCTAGATGACCTATGCCTCAGCTTCCTTACCTTCAAAGGGACCTAATAATGCCTCCTCCGTAGGATTTAATGAGTGACTGGGACACTAGAAAGCTCTCAAAATGTTGCTGTTATTATTTGAAGTTACACAGACTTGGGTTTGAACCAGGTTTGGCTACTTAGCGCTTTTGTGAACTTGGAGAAATGACAATCTTTGGGTGAACTCCCCAAGTGTAAAATGGGTGTTAATATGGCCCTTGCAGTATTGCCATGGTGATTTAATTTTGTATGACACACAGTAGGTATTCAGTAATTGGCACTTCTGATTATCTTCATTTTTCCTGGTTTCCGACAGAGAAACCCAACAGGACTGGTGAGACTGGAAGAAACACAGCCAGTAAAATTTAGGATCCTCTTAAGTCCCCAAAGCTTCATCCATATGCAAAAGAGACACATCCCCAGGGAAGACTGGGTCCTGGATGTTTTTAAATACACAACTTATTTTATCTTAAGAGCAAAAAGAGAACCTGGAAGCGTTCCCAAATTTAACATCTGCAGGCAGATAGGATGACGAAATGTATTAGTACTGAGGAATAACTTTCTCCTGTCTTCTTGGAAAACATCTGGGGTATTACCCTCCCCTCCACTCATTCCCCCACCTCTTACCCCAACGCTGACTCTCGGCAGACAGTTTATCAGCGATAAATGGAAACACCTGGGCGGCAGATAAGGCCACCTGAGTGTGATCAGCTGAGGAAACCTTAGGGACGCGTGCCACTCAGTATTTGTTTTATCACGCCAGGCAGGGCAGAAGCACAATCTAGCCTGTGACAGATGGCAAGGTTCACTTTCTCATTCATTCATTCATTCAGTCAGTCAGTCAGTCATTCATACAACCTCAGGAGGTCAGCAGGCCCAGCTCCCTGCCTGAAATAGGTCAATGCCTGAGCCACCAGATGAATTAGAAGGTTATTGATCCTGCTTTTAACCACATCTGCAAAAAGACATTCTAGAAACTAACTCTGTGTCTTGTTCAAATCTTTAATCACCCTTTCTTTTGTGAAACCAAACCCCCTCCAGCTACAATTTCTCATCTTTATAGAGATGAGAAATATCATCTTTTGTACCCCGTGGCCAGTCAAAAAGTATTTTTATTGCCATCTCTGCTGTAATAACCTCCCCAAACTTGAAAACTCTAAATCCGGGTTTCTTCCCATGTCCCCACACCATATGAAACAATCCCCACCTCCTTTGCTCTTCCTTCAAAGGTCCTACTCATCTACCTTTTAATTAGCATGTTTCTTTTCTCTCAGCTCATTCCAGCATCTACACATCATTTAGAAACCAAAACTTGACACAGAACTCTAATTGTTGACAAGAGATGTAGCTGCTATTAAAGTGAAAATGATCCAGTGTGTGTTTTCACAAAGCCGCTACCTGGACCCCCAAGCAAGTTACTTAACATTTCTGTTTCCGCACCTGTAAAGCTGGTTCAATCATAAAGAATGAGGTCTGTGAACATGACATTAGGAAGACCTACCAGCAGCTGATCGTCTGTAAAAGGTAAAAGTACTTCTTTTACTTCCTAAAAGAAGTAGGTTCAGAAAGACACATAGAAATTAACCAGGTCAAGAGAAGAAAGCAATCCTACCAGAGGCAACTGCATGTGCAAAGGTCCTGAGGCCTGACCTGAGGACCAGGATGAGTAGATCCCAGAGAACAAGAAGAGGGTTGTGAAATGAGGCTGGTGAAGGAGGTAGATAACATAGAGCCATGTAAGCCAGGATTTTGGTCTTTTGTTTTTCAAAGCACTGGGAAGATGACGAAATTATAAGCAGATTTATATATTTTGTAAAGGCTCCTGGCTGCAGAATAGGTTGGACACAGAGAGGATGTGGGGAGAGTAGGAAGCTCTCCAGGTAACCTAGGAATGGGACTGTGAGAGCTCGGACTACGGTGGCATTTGTGAAGATGAAGAGACGTGGCTAGATTTGGAAATGAGAATTAACAGCATTTTACTGATTCACTGAATATGGCAGTGAGCGGGAGGGAGGTGTCCAGGGTGCTGCCAAGTGTCTGATTTGCTCATCTTGGATGGCGCTGCTGTTTACTGAGGTGGAATGCTGGGGGAGGAACAGGTTTGAGGAAGAAGGCATGAGTTCAGCGTTTGGACATGCAGAGTTTGAAGTGCTGTGAGATGGCCAAGTCGAGATGTGGAATAGGCCATGGGATTTATGATTGGGAGCTCGGAGGAGAGCCTAAGCTAGAGATATAAATTTAAGAGTCACCAGCATATAGATAATAATTAAAACCATGAGTACGGACGAGGTCATGGAGGGAGGGTGTAGAATGTGAAGGAGAAGAGGGCAGTGTATCAAGCCTTGAAATTCTCCAGTATTTAATGGTAAGCAAGAGGAGCACGAGCCAGGAAGGAGACTGGGGAGAGTCCCAAGAGGTGGGAGAAAATTAGAATGTCAGGTCATGGAATCCATAGGAAGAGGATGTTTTAAGAAGAAGGTGATGCCAATAGTGATGCACAGAATGGCCAAGCAGGACCCATAGAATGTGATGTGTCAGGAAGTGAAGTGTGTCATTTGTTTATCCTTAATGATCTCATCCAGGTTATATTCCTGTGGGATTTTCAGGATTGTGTGCTCTCCTGGGTTTTGTTAACTCAGAATTTTTCCACCTTTCCTATGCATAGCTACGGCTTACTGTTACATGTTATGACCGAACTTCCTATCCAACGTGATCAGTTTAGCAACACCAGGGTTATATCTCATCTATCCAGATACTTCTGCTGTTCAGACTGCAATCAAGAATTAGGAAAAAAGCAAAAAATCACAATGCATTCTCGCTAAAGTCTTGCCACTAATATTCATGTGTTTACTAACAGAAGTCATTATTTAGCTTTCACTGAGAGCTATTTAACCTTTACAAGTTTTACAAAGATAGATGTTCTGTTTCTCCATCCACAGCAAAATGGAAAAAACCTGTGGGCAGGGGCTAAGGTGGAGGAGGAAGACCAAGGAGGAAGGTCACTGAGGCATGTGAAAATTGTTATAGTACAGTCAGTCCTCATTAGAAGTAGATGAAAATCTACAAAAACCAGGCAAAAGGACCACAAAATTACAGCAGTCTGAGTCAATTTAGTGAGGAATAGATACACCTTAGTCCTCAGTAACCTTTGGGGAAAACATCACAATATAGTGCCTGTTAATAACAGAGTAACCAAGGAAATTTGAAATAAATGCTTGCTACGTTAAAATAAGTGGGGGAA